CGGGGGCTATTTATATATTGTACACTGTGTGTTCGGCATGGTGTGTTCTGCAGATTATTTTCAGTTTCAACATGAAGGATGTGGCAGTCAGGTAGTGCATGTGTTACGGGCCAAAGCTTGACCAGGCATGTCTGAGGTGTTGCTCTTAATAAATGTTCCTGCAGGCCGCAACAAGAAGTGAACGCTGCCACCCAGATCACATGACCATCAGCTGATTGCCCTGACTCTACCTGCTGTATGTGACCTGACTTAAAGAAATAGAAAATACACGTATTCACTTATGTAATCAAGCATAAAAGTACAAAGTATTATTCAATGGAAATATTTATGGTGATATTATACATTTTATATTTTAAGTAAACACCTTTTTTGTAGTACAGTACAGTACTTGAGTAAATGTATTTAATTACTTTCCAACACTGAAGGATGGATTGATCAGCCGAACAGATATGTTGCAACGTTAGCATTTAAATTAAAGTTGTGTTTCTGCCCATTTGACAAATGCAAGTTAAATATTCGCTCTCTCGTAGCTCCGTTTTGTTTAAAAATGTCTGTCTTTTTAGCAGCTAAAAGCTCTTCTTTGCTTTTTTACTGAATCCAGCTGACTGCTGCAACCAGAAACCCACAGGAGGCAAGCAGTGAGGGTGAACCTAAACGACATCTTTCACAATATTACACACATTATGCTGATTATGTTGTTATGGTACAAAAAGAGAACACATGGTTTTTAACACTATATGAATGTGTTCCAGTGACGAGCCGTGACTTTTATTCCTAGGCCCTCTGACCCCCACCCCTTCCCTCGAAAAAAAGAAAAAAGAAGATTTATTACGTCACAGCGTATACTTCAGCGTAATATCAAAACAACGGCCCGGGGTGCAAAACGCAGCAATGACAGCGACCCTCTACCACACAAAACAACACTTTTAAATAACCCAATTTGTGTTCTTTGAAATTGAAAAAGATATTGCATTGTGTTTGTTACTTTCGTTGCAGTTGTATATTTCTTAAGTGTAATTTGGCTTGGCTTCCTATTTTGTGGACATGCTTTATTTTGAAGGCGAGTTTACGCTGTTGACAGGAAGTTGTTGCTGCTATGGAAACAAGAAAAGCTTCACAGCGGGCGGAACTTGTCATAAAGTCTGCGATAATAAAACCCACCCATTTAGAGGGAAGATATGATTGGTCAATTGTACTGTCATTTGACATTACTCTCTCGTTCAGTTACTATAGCGGGCCCTAGTTATTTTGGTAAAACTAATGAAAAATATATTTTAAAAAATAATAATTTGCGTGCGTGTTGATGCAGTTAAGAGGAGGGATTGCAAAACTGGGGGGTTTGAAATGTGTGTCAGGCTGACCTGAACAGGCCAGCGTTCAGGTTTCAAAACAAGCCAGTTGGGCCCAGGCTAATAAAGTGTTGTGTGTGACTGTATGTGAGTTAGTGTGTATGAGTGCTACTTGATACATGAGTAGACTTCAAAAAACACTGGGAGGTGGGAGGGACGGGGGCTATTTATATATTGTACACTGTGTGTGTTCGGCATGGTGTGTTCTGCAGATTATTTTCAGTTTCAACATGAAGGATGTGGCAGTCAGGTAGTGCATGTGTTACGGGCCAAAGCTTGACCAGGCATGTCTGAGGTGTTGCTCTTAATAAATGTTCCTGCAGGCCACAACAAGAAGTGAACGCTGCCACCCAGATCACATGACCATCAGCTGATTGCCCTGACTCTATCTGCTGTATGTGACTTAAAGAAATAGAAAATAAACGTATTCACTTATATAATCAAGCATAAAAGTACAAAGTATTAAGGCTTGCCACTGATGTGTTCACATTTGAAATGAGTCTTTCAATCTCAAACTTTTTTTCAAGCTGGTTGATTTTATTTCCTCTTCACATCAGGTCACTATATAAGTGTGTGTTTGTCTACTGTACTTCATGTTCCTGCTGAGGTCATCCGTGGTGAGGTGACTCACGTAACTCTGACTCATTAACTCACATTACATTACACTTGGTTTTGTGTTAAGAGCTAAATTATAAAGTTAAAGTATAAATAAATATCTTCATATGTTTACTCCTGTGACACAAGTAGACTTCTAACAAACTGAGACTGTCTTCATTCCACAGGCTGCTGTTTGGCTGTGGAAACAAGTGTATTTTGACTTGTAGGAACAACTATTTTACATATTATCAGTTCTAGTTGGAATCAGAGAGCATGTGAGCTCTTGTAAACTAATAGTAAAAACGTAGAATTTGAATTAAAACAGGTTAGTACAACTTCTTTCAAGCGTACGCCGCCCTTTAGACCAGACTGGCTGGAAACCCTCGTGAGCAGAATGGAAAGCACCCTTGCTTCAAATTTCTCCCAACAAAAGTTAAACTCCTCACGTGTGCTAAAAATAGTTTTGTCTCTAGACCCAACAGTGTTATGGCGTGGACAAAGATCAACGCAGATCTGAACCTGTTGGAGCCACTTATTATATAGAGCTTTTGCATTTTTATCATTTTTATTATTAAGGAATGTTAAGCTATTTATGTAATTATGTTTTGATAATGGGCACATTTTTAGTGAATGAGTGTGAGATGTGTGGGGGCGTGGATGAAAGTCTTTAAATAGACAAGATAAATGTTTGTTCAAGGGCGAAAAAGGGGAGAGCCAACATTTTTCCGACCACATAATTGTGCATTATTTTACACATTACTCTACACAGTAAAATACCGTAGCAGATAGCATTCTATTTGTTTGACACCTTCACCTAACCCCAAAAAGCTTCAGAAGATTAAAAGTCTAGGAAAGCAATTTCAGAACCAAACAGAAGCACGTCAACCCTTTTGCTTTGACTGGATTTGCCTCTTGTGACTTCATAACATGACCATTTCTGCACAAAAAATAAATGTCCTCTCATGGGAAACTATTGAGCAATTAGCCTTTTTCCCACAGAACCCACAGCAACCTTCTAAATGTTGTTGGTTAGACTTCAGCCAAAAATAAATGTTATGCTAATCTTAGTTCTTAAGTGGTCTGGTTCTGAAAACACTCCAGAACAAGCTGAAGCACAAATCCTGACTGCTGTTAAAGAGAGAACCAGCTACCTCTTTATCCTCCTCCTCTTCATGCAGGACAACAGCTCTGGATTCCACAGGTAGGGCCGTTGGTTCTCTCTCCCCACCAGCAGCTGCTCTCTCCAGGGACAGGTCTGGACCCCCTATGGGGAGAGGATCCGTGTCCCTCTGGACCAGCCATGTTTCCACTTCTGAATGAGGAACCTGTGGAGAAAAGGTAAGAGGTTGGTTAAATCAAAAATGTGCCGAGTCAAAGGAAAGCTAAAAAGTTATAACCCTAATGTCCATATTATTGTTATTCTAGCCCAGAAGAGTGGTGCAGTGATAACATATTTTGGTAACCCAACCCAAAAGTTATCAACACAAGGGTTCGAACGACAAAAGGCAATGGGATTTTTCCATTGGATTTTGGAATATTGCAGAAATTAAGATCTATGGCAAACAAATGTTCTTGATACTGAAACATTTGTTAATAATTCTCCACACATTAACGCCACTTTTATAAAAGTTGAAGTGTAAATGCAATTTCCAGAGGTAAAAAGCTAACGTTAGTCTATAAAGGAACTACATCACAATCGCATGACTGCTCATCACCACAGCTAAGCTAAGTGTAGCTAATGTTTGCAGTGATGAAGTTTAGTTCGCAATAAGCCATTTGTTAGCAACCGATGTTTTGGGACACGAAAAAGCTTCATACGTTCACCAGTGGGGTATACTATGTATTTACTGACCAATTTTGTGTCGTAGAACAAAATGTAAGAATCCCTTCAATTTGTGTTAGCCAGAGACTTTATTTCAAGTATCTAATCAAAAGAAGTAAAAAAAAACGTAGACTTTGAAACAATGGAATCAAAAGTGGTACAATTCTAACTATTTCTGAGTTTCAGGACTAATTCCTCCCACCTGTAGTCTGTCCAGGGAGCGGACCAAGCCCAGCAGCCTCCGGGTCGTGAAGAAGCCATCCAGGTCCACGCTCTTGGGGTGCAGTGCCTGGCCGTCCTCCATGCGGTTGCGGAGGTTGTGGAACTGCGTCTGGGTCAGCAGCGAGGTGGGGCCCAGGATCATGTCGTGCCAGGGGGGGGGCAGGTAGGGCTCCAGCCCCACGTCCACCCGCACACCACACAGGCTGAGCAGGATGGCCATCTGGATGAGGCCCTCCGTGAAGTACTTCTTCAGGTACAGCATGGTGCCGGGCTCAGGGCTCAGCTCAGAATCCAAAAAGAGTCTTAAGTCTCTAGAAGATAGTGCTGACCTCTCTATGGAAAGTCACAGGGAAAGAATAAAAAACAAAAAACCTTGATTCTGAGATTCTTTCCCCGTAAATATTGGTTGGTAGGGAAATGTTATTATTGTAGTCCAGAACAAGACATTTCTTTGTTAGGTGTCCAATCAAAAAGAAATAATTATTGGGATAAAAACATCTAGAAAGATCTGCAAAAACTTTCCCAAGTTCATCTTAAACCTGTTGCTCTTCATGGAAACTTCACTGCCTGTGGATTAAAAAGAAAGAAAAGAATAGATCAATTATTACAAAAGTTGTGGCAAATATCATTTGTAAAGCTTTAAACTCGGCATATAAAACTGTGATTTTTACCACAATAACATTAAAACTTCAGCTATTGCTTCAACTGCCTCAGCTGTTATAGAGGGACTACTTCTACTACAGTCCAGTATTATTGCACCCTGTTCTAGAGATAATAATAACGTAACAACACTTATCAGAGCTAATCTCCATTCAGAGTGCAGTCTGACCGGCTTTCACAGTGCATGTGATGAGATAAGGCAGACACACAGTAACTTCTAGAAGGAGTTTGGTAACCTCCCGCCTGTGTTACTCACTGCTGCCGCATGATGCAACTGCCAGTGTTCGCCTGGAAAGAGCCTCTCCCTGTCTCCTCCCTCCCTCTCTCCATGCTAACCTGTTTACTGAAGCAGCAGAGGAACACACCCAGGGATATAATAACTTTTATAGTTCAGTGTGATGCAGTATTCGTATATCCCTTTAGGTATGGTTGGCTTGTTCAATTCATATAGACTTCATGTGTACTTTATTTTTGTTGGCTTACATTTTAGGGTTGTTTTCTTTTATTCTGTCAATAATTTATTGAAATGTCAGAAAAACAAAGACCAATTTACATCTTTGTGGACAATAAAGTGTTACACTTAAGCCATATAACCTAGCAGGTAACCTATTGACAGTACAACAGTTTCATAGGCTGCCAATGCATGTGGTTAATAGTGATGCTTGATCATGCTAATCAAATTATTGGTTGCTGATCTACTTCCTCCTAAAATAATACTTACCATGCTAAAAATGGGCCATGTGTGTTGTTCTATTGTCAATCATTATTATAACCCTGTTATAGGTGCATTAATGTATGTAGCATTTTATGGTTGAGGTATAAAACTATTTTAATTATTTTTAATATTGTGCAATCTGTAGCAATGCATCACGTTTTATAAACTGTGTTATGTGTGTCAAATCCTGATGTGTGGCAGAGTAAAAGTAACATATTAAAATACTTAAGTAGCCACACAGCAGCACAGTATCACAAATGTGTGTTTTATACTTGTTTCTGTGAAACTAGACGACCATACATTGCATCAATATTAAGCTCCTAAGTGTCTTGCATGGTGAGCATGTTCTCTGTGGCAACACGTTACACAATGTTTTCATCCCTCGCGCCAACACAGTAATATCACGAGACGTTTGACAACAGAAAGTGACCGAAAACATTGCGAAACACTGCCGACAGTCAACACATCACACACTACTTCAGGAACATTAAACGCACCATGACATCACTTCTGGCATGTTCTTTGATAGCCTACATTCAAAACAAAGCACTTTCAAAAGCTCATTCAGAGTAAAGTTGTTAAGAGTAACCTACTAATACAATATTACAGCATATAACAGTTAAGAATGTCATTACAGTATGTCAGCGTACAGTTGTTAAAAATATGTTTGGAATATCATATCAATGTCTCTCACCAGTTCACAGTGTCTCTCTGTCCCGCCGTCAGTATCTGCTCTGCTCACCGAGGGTGCGCGAGCTATTTAAAGGGACACCGAGTGGTGACGTATGACATCTAGTCCCTCCCAACAAGTGTGTGTGTGTGTGTGTGTGTGTGTGTGTGTGTGTGTGTGTGTGTGTGTGTGTGTGTGTGTGTGTGTGTGTGTGTGTGTGTGTGTGTGTGATTAGTATGCTACTTTGAGAAAGTAGGAAAACTTAATCCTGCTCCACCACATCACAATATAAAGATACTAAATGTTTAATTAATTTTAAAGTCATTAAATCTTGCTAAAGTTCAAGGTTAGAGATATAGCGTGGTGTAGGAATAAGTCATAGAACTCTGGAATGAGTTACCACAAAGTCAACGTTTTTTTGAAAATGTTTTTCGGTCGATACCTGAATTAAATTCTGTAGTTAACCCAAACTGAAGAGATTTTAACGTACAATACATCACGCAATGGTGAATGTCTGAAGCTTCTAGGTGTTTTCAAAACAGAGGTTGCTAACAAGTGGCTAAATGAGACTACTAAATGTAATCATGCTGAACATTAGCCGCCTTTAGCTTAGCGGTGCTGATGTGCAGCGATGCGACTGTGATGTAGCCTAGCTTGTTTATAACCTAACTTTAGCTTTTTACTTCTGGCGAATGCATTTACGCTCAACTATTATAAAAGTGGTTTTAATATGTGAAGATTATCCTGCTAAACAAAACGTGTAAGTATCATAAATGTTTGTTTACAACAGATATTGTTTACTGCAATATTCCATATTCCAAACATCTTGCTTTTGGTCTAGGTGGCCCGTGCGTGCTAACATTCTATGGGATTAGTTTTGTATCATAAAGATAAAGCAACACTTTCTTAGAATAAAGCAAAACTATGAGTTTAAAAGAAAGAAAAAAACTGAGTCAAATAAAATAAATTTCAAAAATAAAACTATAAGTTGCAAACAAATCATTTGTGTAATCTTGTAAACTATAAGTATTTTTTCTTTGTTTTAACATAGGTTTTTGTTTGCAGTTCTTGTTTCTTCTTTCTCAATGATCAGACTTTTGCTCTCGCTGCAGCTCTTCTCGTTTACGCTCCCTCATTTTTTGTTTTCGATTTTGACACAAATGTCCCAGGTGGGCGGGACTTTCAGTGGTGCGTCCCCATTGGCTACTCATTTTTTGATTGACAGCCCACTACACCACAGATCATACAGTGCAACTCATGCAGCAAACTCCGGAGTCCACTCGGCTACATTAGTGTCGGTGTCTCCTGGGGAGATTCATGAACATATCAGACTCTCTTATGGATTGCTGTGCATTATACTTGTGATGTGTAATTCATACTTTATTCCAACTTTAAATATTTGTAATACCTCAACACACTGCTGCTGTTAAATAATTTCCCAATTTGGGATTGATAAAGTTTCTGTCTATTTATTTATTTATTTTATAGATTAAAAAAACACATCTATGTATTTTCAAGCTAAAGGTGATACACAATATAAACTGTATACTATTATTTTTTCAAAGACATGTTACATTTCAAAAGCATATAT